CTGGGATCACCAGACCTGGAGATAATGGCAGCAATCAGCAGCTATTTCTGACTCTTTCATCTTTAAAGAGGGCTGCAATTCATGTCAGACCCAGCCTGCCATGTATCATTCATTATTTTATCATATCAAAAGTAGAAAACTGTAAATTTACTTATACAGTAAATCTATTTGGTATGAACTGTGAACTAATTTTCATGACAGAAAACCAAACTATTTAACAATATAGAATATGAGAAAGCTAGAGTTAGCATTTAATTGTACATCACACATCTTCAAAGACCTGTATTCTTCATGTACACTGGATTTTACAATGCAACCAAAGGCATTGGTTTTGATCTGTAAGTGTAAGCCATTAAGTAATTAGAATTAGCAAACCATTTTCTACAGCTTCTACAATATCTTTTAATGTATATTAGGGTTGAAAAAGATAATAAAGTGTATAGTGGCTTGCAAGTATCTTATTGAAAACTGACGAATATCCAACCACACAATATATGTGACAGATTTGTGTTCATATAACACAATTCAGATAAAAGTTTGATGGTCAAGGATAAACAGGCATAAAATTTGTTTTAAAAGCCAATTATTACCTTTTTGGTTTAGATAAATGCTGTAAACCTCTTGAAATGCATTTTTAAAAAGACAAATAGCAGCATAACATCCATTCATCCATCTACCAACTGAAATATTTTACAAAACTGGCTATGGAAATCTTGGAGGTAATCTTACCAGTGATTGGATTCAAAAATTTTTACTACCGGTTCTGTGAGAGTGGCTTGGTGGGCGTGACATGGCTTGGTGGGAATGGCAGGGGAAGGATACTGTAAAATCTCCATTCCCTCTCAACTCCAGGGAAGGTTACTGCAAAATCCCCATTCCTTCCCAATCAGCTGGGACTTGGGAGGCAGCGAATAGATAGGAGTGGGACCAGTCAGAGGTGGTATTTATCAATTCTCTGGACTATTCAAAATTTCCGTAACCAGTTCTCCAGAACTGATCAGAACCTGCTGAATACCACCTCTGAATCTTACTGATTACAATAGGACTTAGTTGATGCATTA